TTACAATAATGAGATTAAATGTAAATAGACTAAGCACTTGAATGAAAAGAGAGAGAGAGATTACTACATTAGGTAAAAAGGAAGACCTTACTATGACTTGGTTACAGGAATAACATTTAAATACACAAACGGAGTAGAAATTTCAAACAAACATCAAGCTTGTTTGACTATAGTAGTATATAAAAAAATAGACTTCGCAGTCAAGTGTATTTTCAGAGATAAAAAGGCAAATTTATAGTGATAAATGAATGAAATCACCAAGAAGACATAGTAATTCTACATATACACGCACACAATGATAGACAATCAGATGTGGTTAGTGAAAACACAAACTGGGGTCCTACTTCCCATTATTTTAAGTGGGAAAACTATAATCAGTACTCAATCTAGTCCCACCTCCAACTAGTTTTCTAAACCACAGTAAAAATGTCTCTGTATAAATAATAAGCATCATGTTAGGGTACAAAATGCTTAAAACTTTGCTACATGATTTCCAAAAAACTAATGTCATTCTTGGCAAACTGTTGCTTCTCTGCACTAACGTGACCTTTAAGAAAGAAAATCCAAGAAACACTACCACTCTGTTGACATTCTGTGGCTTTTCAAACATTTATCTTCGTATTTTAATTTGAGTCTTTTCTCGCGTATAATTTTGTTTTAATGTTGTATTGAGCTTTGGAGTTGAAAATATTAATATTTCCCACATAAACATTATTTAGCAATTTTTACTAAGAGATATGTTCTCTGAAGTTTAAGTACTAACGCTATGGGTTTTTCTACTGGTGAAAAGTTCTGCAAGATGTGCCTATAAATGATGAACTTGGTTTAATAGTACATGTCCACATACCAGGACACCACAAACCCTTTATGTGTTAGATTGTGCCTTCTGTCAATTGTTAGCTTCATATTCTTTCTAGGTTAGGTTTTTATCTATCAGAGAAGGCTTTAATGACATTCAACAAACAACATTGAAGATGTCCAGAAAAACATGGAGAAAAATTCAAATTTCTATGGAGACTAATGAGATGCAACCATGAAGACTTTCTATACATGGGAATTCTTTACAAAGAGCAAAAAATAGTTTCCTTGCATGTACCTGTGGCCCATATTAAAGAATGAAGAAGACATCAATAATTTTTAAATAAGATATAGAGTTTACATTCTCCATTCAAAATGTACAAAAACTAGAAATTAGTAACAGTTTTATAAACAATAATTGCTTGGCAATTAAAAAATCTTCCTATACAACTTCAGCGAAAGAGATATTGAAATTACCACTATAGAAAAATCACACACTTTAATCTTCTGGGATTTAACCACCTGGGATTTCTAATTGTCCCTCTCCTTTGGTTTTATCCTTTATTTGCTTTTTTTTTCCTACTACTGAAAAATTCTCCTCCTGCACATGGTATTTGATATCACTTACAGCATCTGCCTATGCCTTCAGCTCATCTTTTCTATTTCTTCTCCATCTCACCTTCACCTGTAAGCATATGAAAGTATGCTGCATGATTTTATAACTCCATGCTTTACAAATGCTGTTGACCAACCTGAAATCCCTTCCATTTTCATTGTCCAAATGGAAAATTCCTGTGTCTTCCAAAATCACCTCTTTTATACAGTCTCAAAAATAAAGAACTCATACAACTCAACAACAAAAAACCAAACAGTCCGATTAAAAAATGGGCAGAGGAACTGAATAGACATTTTTCCAAAGAAGACATACAATTGGCCAACAAGTGCATGAAAAGATGAAAATCATTAATAAAAATGCAAAAATCACTAAGGGGAATGTAAATCAAAACCACAACGAGATATCATCTCACACTTCTTTGGATGGCTATGATCAAAAGAACAAAGGACAAGAAGTGTTGTCAAGGATGTAGAGAAAAGGGAACCCTGTACACTGTTAATGAGAATGTAAATTGGTGCATCAACTGTGGAAAACAGTATAGAGTTTCCTCAAAAGATTAACAGTAGAATTTACATTTGATCCAGCAACCACATTTTTGAGTATTTAGGGAAAGGAATTGAAATATGGACATCAAAGAGATATTTTCAGTCCCATGCTTGTTGCAGCATTATTCACAATAGCCAAGAAATGGAAAGAACCTCAATGTTCATTCACAGAAGCATTCATAAAGAAAACCTAGTATATACATATAATGGAATATTATTCAACTTTAAAAAAGAAGGAAATGTTGCCATTTGTGAAAGCGTGGATGTCCCTGGAGGGCATCATTCTTAGTAAAATAAGCCTGACATGGAAAGGCAAACATTCCGTGATCTCACTTATGTGTTGGAATCTAATTAAACATATAGAAGAAGAGAGTAGAAAGGTAGTTGTCAGGGGCTGGGTAGGGAGTAGAATAAGGAAGTGTTGATCAAGGGTACAAACTTTCAGTCATATAAAATAAGATCTGGAGATCTGTACAATACAGGGCCTATGATTATCAATATTCTATTGTCTACTTAAAAATTTTCTAAAAGGGTAGAGCTTACAAGTGCTCTTACCGTATAAGAAAAAAAACCCAAACAAACAACAGAGGGGCCAGGAAGAAACTTTTGGAAGTGATAGATAGGTTTCTATCTATCACATGGCATTGATATTGATGTTGGATTTCATACTTATCTCCAAACATATCAAGTTGTATACATTGAATATTTACAACTTTTTGTATATCAATCATACTTCAATAAAGTAGTTAAAAAATTATTATTGGAAGTATCTTCAGTGTGAAACTAGTTCAGGGGATTTCTATCCATAAAATGTTTTACAGCACCAGAATCTAGTGCATTTATCTCCATATCAGAGTTTATCTTTCATTGGGTACCATCTATGGCTCATAATAACCAACCTGGATTCGTGGACTCAGTTTTGGATTTGTGGTCATCATTTTTCTATTTTTCAAGCTCACTCTTCATTCATACTTTATCTTAAAGTTATATAAAGTGCATTTGACTAGTTTATGTGTAATAAATTATTATCAAATCTTGATTAAAACCTTGAAGAGGCTCACACTCCTTTTGTAGTCTGACTATGATTACTTAATTTATTCCTACAGTTGCTAAACCTCAACCATTTCAATATACTTTTCAGTAGTTGAACTCTTACAGTGGAATATTATTTCCATGTTCCCGCAGCATCTTGATGCTATCCCCATGCGTCACCTTCAAGTGGACTCTAGAGATTATCTGGCTCAATCTCCACATTTTATGGATAAGGTGACTTAAGTGTCTTGGGAAGTCAGTCAGTTAATTGAAGGCAGCACCAGGCTTAGAACCCAGGGCTTGTCCATTGCGAAATTGTTCAGAGTCTACTATTGGTCCCCTTGAGTTCCATTCCCACTGTCACTTCCCTAAACCATCATTGTCTTTCTCCCAATTTATGTAACAGTCTCTGTACCCACTTTCCTACTCTGATCTTGGCTTTTCCAATCTCTTTTTCATACAATGTCCACAGCTATGTACTATCTGTAGCTAATCATAACGTGTCTGTGATTTGTTAGAGAATGTTGATCGTTCTTCATTGTTAGTAATATGAAATCTGAACTTTATAATAGAAATTTGAAGGCCAAGTATGATCCAATCATGGTGTAGAACATATTTCATAAAACATATTTGTAATTAACCGACCTCAGAGTTCGAGTTAAAAAACAAACAAAATAAAAGAAAAATTGCATTAATCTTTTCAGAGGTATTTTCTCTCAAGAAAAAACAGACACACTTCTATCCTGGAAGTAGGAGCTGAAAGCACACAAAGGCTAAGGATTGAGATAATGGAAAAGTTAGGTCTAAAATAGGTTATCAATGAAAAGATAACCTTGTAGTTGACAACACAAGTCCACCAGGAAAAAAATGTTTGATTTGCTTAAATTATTTTCATTACTAATATGAAGTAGATAAGCAAATAACTTGCAAATAACTTCCATCACCTTGAATCTTTGGAAGAAATTATTCTTATTCCATACTTGTATGATTTCTTCCAAAGATTCAGATTCAGGTCCCTTCCTCTGGTATACATGCACATTCTGTAGTAACAGTTTTAGGATAAGAACCAATGATAAGTATGAATTATGCATCTGAGGGGCTGGATCTAGAGTAAATAATTTAGAAAAACAGGAGCATTAGTCAGCTGTGGGATGCTATTGTTATTCCCTCTCCTCAGAGAATGGTCTGAGATTGAAAAAATTCTATTTCTCTCCAGCACAGGAATGATGAATACATGTGTAGCTAAACCAAGGGCTAAGAACAGCAATTAAGAGCCCATATGATGCAAACCATATATATCCCAAGGTGAAGGGTGCTATGACCATTATTTCCTTGGGCTAGGTGTGGGAAGAATGTGGGCACAAGAATTGCTACTATTTCCATTGTTTCCTTCGTAACCACAACCTAATATATAAACTTCTATTATTTAATGCATTTTGGTAAATAGTTATTAATTATGTTGAACTATGTGTATGGCTAGAGATGAATGAAATAAAAAGAGTATAAATTACTAAATTTTGGATTTCAAGCACATTGTTTATATCAGAGGGAAGAATATAAATTCAGTAAAGGATGTTTCTATTAAAATTAATTGTCATCAACATGTGGAATACTTAGGGAGAAGATAGTTATGCACACCAAGGGAAAACGTAGCCTTGAAAAAATAGAGAATTCCCTTTTGCTAGAGATATGCAAACAGATCAAGTGAGCTCTACCAGCGACTCTCAGCTGGGAACTCTGTGGAGAGCTACATCAGCCAGAATGAAGATGCATGGTTCTCTGAAGACTTCCAATCCAAGGCCATGTGATTTTTTTTTAATCTTCATATTTTCATTCTGAACATTATCTCCTTCAGAGCCTGGTGGACCTGCTTGTTCCACATAGAGTAGATGACAGGGTTCAGCAGTGGGGTCACCACCGTGTTCCCAAGAGCAGCCTCTCTGTTGGAGTACAGGCTGTTTGTTTGCTTTGGTTTCACGTATATAAAGACACAGCTACCATACGTCAGAGAGGGGACAATGATGTGAGATGAACAGGTGGAGAAAGCTTTCCATCATTCCTTGGCTGATGGGAGACAGACGATTGTGACTACCATCTTGCTGTATGCAAAGATGGTTATGATGAGGGATGTTGAAAGGATACATAAAGTGAGGACAAAGGCAAACACTTCAACAGATCTGGTGTCAGAACAGGAGAGATGGATTACGGGGCCAAGGTCACAGAAGAAGTGAGGGATGACATGGGGACCACAGAAGGATGGCTGGGAAACCTTCACCACCAGACCAGTGTTGACAGACAAGTTCAAAGCAAAGCAGGTAGTGACCAGGAGGAGGCAAGTCCTCAGGTTCATGATGGTCGGGTAATGCAGAGGCTTGCAAATGGCCACGTGCTGATCCAGAGACATCATTGCTATGAGGAAGAAACCTGCTGCTCCTAGAAATACAAAAACAAAGCCTTGTATGAAACAGCCAGGAAAGGAAATCGTTTGCTGGCCTAAAAGGAAGATGACCAGCAACTTAGAAACAAGAGTACTTGTGAAACAACACTCAAGGAAGGAGAAAATGCTGAGGAAAAAGTGTGTAGGTGTTTGGAGGCGGGAGTCAGCACAGGTGATGGTGACTATGACCACATTGCGTAGAAGGGACGCCAGGTACACCAGCAGGTGCACCAGGAAGAGGAACTTTCCCAGCTGCTGGACAGCAGGTAACCCTTCCAAGGTGAATTCTTGGACAGTTGTTCCATTCCCCATTTCCATGGGCATCTCTTTGCACAGCAGCACCACCTGCTGGCCTTAACCTACAATAAAGAGATCACAGCAAGCGCCGAAGTTTTAGGGGAGCACAAGGTCAACTAACTTGAATATCCAAGGAGAATAGGCAGATAGTAAAGTGCTCCAGTGAGTTGATTCTTGAATCAGAAGGACCTGAGTTCAATACTGGGTTCTAACCCCTCAGAGATGGGTCATCCGTGGAAAGCTAGTAAACCTTTGAAAACTTCGCTTTCATCCTCTGTAAAATGAAGATGCTAGGGTCTATGTGTTCATGTTCTTGTGAGAATTGAGTAAGATAAAGCATGTAACTCACTTGGCATGTGATGCCAAGGTTTCCAATGTGTTCCTCAAAGTCTAATTTGACTATTATGATCATTAATATGCTCTTATATATAGCTTGATCAGTAGACAGTGTGATTGAAATTTTCCTAGTTATAGAACATTTGTGTTTTACAATATTATCAATTGGTAAATAAACATAATGGTAATATTAGCAATATTCTCTTTGAATATTCTCCTTAAAACATGCAACAAGTTCTCTGGTCCAAATCATTATCAACATCATCATTGTCATTAGTTGAGGACTTTACTAATACTTGGTACTGTGCTAGTCACCGAAATTCTGTATTTTCATTCCTCCCCACAACAATCGTGAGTGTTGGGTTGCCCCTACCACTTCTACTACTGAAGCAGAATGAGGCATAGAAAGGTTAGGTCACATTAGTGGGACTTAACTAGATATGCCTGAATCCAAAGCCCCTGCTCTTTCCAAATGCTGCAACAAAATATTTTAAAATGGGAACAAATCTATTGTTGAAGATCTCTCAAGTGAAAGTTTAGCTTTATTTAATTTTTTCTATCCTTCATTTAATATCATTGATGAATTATTAGCCTATGGAAAGACATAAGTCTTAGAGTCGATCTGCTTTAGCACAACCATTTTGTATAAGAAGCTGGAGACCAGAGACATTGGGGAGCTCAACAACATGGTATAAGTTGTAAATCCAGGATTTACTCCACTTTCCTGAGGCTCCATGCTGGCATGAGAGAGTGATGGGGAGTGACAGAAGTTCACAGATTAGCTCATTTAGGAAAGATAATCTGGGATGATGGCACCTGTGCACTCACTCTTACATCATAGCTCAATGAACATTCTCTTCCTCCTTCACTCCCCCTCGATAAATCACTTTTCCAAAGTATCCGACTGTAGCATCTCAATAGTAAGCTGCAGGTCTGCAGTGTGGAATGCGTCTCTCTCACTAACGTGTCATCGGCCATGTTCTCTGAAGTGCTGGTCATGCAACCAACAGCTCACTCCTGTGTGGCACTAGCCACAGGGCTACATAAAGGAGCCTCTGCCTCTGTTCCAGTTGACAGCATTGAGCCCACCAAGCTACCATGATTCCTGAGGCCAGGCACACAAGTGAGTCACCTCATGGGTGGCAGGGCTTCCTACTCTTGTAACTACTCTCTTCCAAAAAATTGAGAGCTTGATGTGGGCTGAGGGGAAAGGAGAGGAAAAGGAAACTCACTTGTCACAGCCTGTTGTCCCAGTTCTGGGGTAAATATGCACCCCATGTTCCCAGTGTCCCTGGCTGCAAAGCCCTGTTTCTATAGCCCAGAATGTTTCAGGCCACAACAAGGCTACATGGCAGCCTTGACATTGAAACCCCAGAGAGGAGCAGACGGAACAAAACAACCACATTTCCCAGCCCCCAATTCTGGCTCTGCCTCCCCTGGTAGACAAAAGCCCACCTAACATGCGATCTTGCTGTCCATATACTATACCAGCTAACAGGAGCAGGCAGCTTCTTCTGAGCACAGCCCTGGGAGCTACTGAGACAAGGCTTCTTCTGCTGAAGTACTCCATTGTCATGGCACATCTGCTCCAACATACGCTCTATTGCACTACACTCCTCCATCACGTCCTCACCTTCTCATGTGGAGAAGCATCCTTGTTCCACTGCATCAGCGATGAGCAGCTCCTGACATGCAGTTCTGAGGCCTCTGTGATAGTTTTCCTGCAACACTGTGTTTGGTCATCAAGCAAGATGTACCCAGCCAGTGAGCAGAGAGTACAGGCTCCCAAAACTCATTAGGAACTAAAGGGTCAGGGGCAGAAAGTAAAGGCAAGGCTGGTGCCAGGGAAGGGAGCTAATTGGTCACTGCTGAGAACAAGAGTTACTGGCACAACACTTATATTTAAGTTTCCGTTGTCTGTGATGACATTGACTCCCAGATGGCCATGCTGTTCTCTGTCAAGATTTTTCAAAGAAATTATATGACAATTTCCCAAGTGTTTCTAAAAATCCCAATTTCAATGTTGCTACTGCTTCAAGGTAAGAAAGATACTGGTTTCCGAGGAAGGAGATGGGGAAATTCATCTTCCTTTCTCAACCGCTGCTCATGCCTCCACCAACATTATGATTCTTTTCATTGGATATTTTTGTCTGAAGAATATTCTTCTTGTCCTTCCCAATCTCCTTGAAAAAGAAAAGAACACATTTCTTCTTCTTCTGGGAAGAAAAAGGAATGCTAGTTTGTTTCTGTGACATCTCTAACCTGGATGGCACCTCTCCTTTTAAAGGAATTTGGAAAGTGGAGCCCCAGATTCCTTCTGGGTGCAGAAGAGGAAGGAAGAGATGTGAGCCCCAGAGTGGAGAAGCTGTTGCCATAGCAACCACTGGCTTTGTAGGCTGCTTCCCCTCCTGGGTACCTCAGCTGGGCTGCTGTGGCAGGAGTGACCCTGCCATCCTGCTGCGGCAGGAGAGGTCATTTTTCTGTGGCCCCTGGTTTCTCATCAAAAGCCAGGTGAGTAGCTTGAACTCCTAAAGTGTGTTTTCAGGCAACTCTGGGGCATATGATAGCTGTCTAGAGGCCTGTTCTGCCTCAGTCTTCCCTCACCAATGTTGATTTTACAAGGTCAAGGCAAATATCCTAGAAATGTTTATGAGCATTTATGTGAGTCCCACCTTCCCACAATAGAAAAAACCATTTCTACAACGTCTGTCCATCTACACACTCTGCTTTCAATCCATGCCAAATGTGGATCTCATGGTGAATTCTCATTTGGAAGTTAGGGAAAATAAAGAATAATGGGAGATAAGTTAGAGAAGCTGGAGCAAAGTGAGACTATCTGTATTGATGCCCAGATAAAGGCTCACTTGCATGGCGTTGTTTTAATTTTATTCAGTTCCAGCTTCATGGTGCAGAAATACCTATTCCACCGGAGCAAGTCACAATGTGAATATGACAGTGGGAAGGTGAGAGGAGAGTGGACTGGCATGTGGTTTGGTGAAAAGGCTTACAAAGGGAACACTCAGAAATGGGGTGAACTAACCATACCATGCATCTAGCTCAAGGGGTGGTGACCTGGCACCAAGAAATGTTTCAAAGTTTACTTGGTCTAGGTTTCTCTTTTCTGGATCGTGCCTTCACAGCTCTCTAATACTCATTATTCTTTTGTGTTTTTAATGATACTCTGATATCTCATTTATCTTTGAAATTTTTCAGTAATCCATGTGCTTTGAGGATTTGGTTAGCTAGTTAATGAAAGGGATAGTTCTTCAAGCTGTGTTTGTGATTATCTAACCACGGAGAGAGAAAGCAAACATTAGCTTGTGGCTTCTCCTCTGCAGCATATTACTATGTTTGCCACTCTGTCCTTGAGCCACTCTTGAAACATTAGGCTACACCAATATCCAGGATTTAGATAATAAGAATATTTTGGTTTAAAATGTATCTGTTTAATATGATCTGTTCATAGAAAAGTTTTGGTGTCTGGTATTATATCCCTAAGTAAGAAGGCTAAGTATGGCCTAAGGAAAGGCAAATCCTATCACCCATGATATTGTGGGAGAGAGACTAGGGGATGCTAAGTTGAACAGGAAATGGGGGTTGGGATGGGGAGAAACACTGTCAGCAGGCTGAACCCCAGTCTGAGGGTGGAGTCGCTGTAATACTAATAAGACTTGAAGAACCAAACTGTCTCTTCATGGAATTTCCATAAAAATAAGCCAAGACTCCCAACAGAGACCCAGAACACATCAGTTCTGATCTAGGGGGCTCATTAATATCATACCCAATATCATGCATTCATGTGTGGAAAACCTATTAGTCTAAGTATCTTCCAACGGGGGACCAGGAGGGGAAGCTCAACGTAGAAGGTAATTTACATGTCTGAATTTCTTATTTCCTTTTTTATACAAGCATGGAAAAAAGAAGTCTTTTGTTTTTTAATGAACCTCCCACTAGAGAATGAGTAAATTGAATTATGTGGGATAGGAAGACATGGAAAAAGCTATCTGTAAATCTCAGAAGAAGCTATTTTGTAAGATTCTGGACCTTCAATTCTGTTACCTTCCTAGTAGGATTTCTTGTGTTAGTCTCACCTCTGATGTGTGGAAGCTCCAGGTGTTGGGGAGAATAACTGTGGTTCTAAGTGGTGTCTTTAGCATCAAGATTCCTAAGCATCTTTATCTCAAGATATTTCCAGCATGAAATGGTGAATGTTATGTTTTGCCAGGTCAAGATTTTACACAAAATATGGAAGACCCCCAAATGAAACATCCTAAAACAAACTCCTTTGAAATGGGGACAAAGTTCACATTTATATGTTCACACCTCTCCTGATAACACCCTCACAGCTTATTACATGACACAGAGTTTTACTGTTACAGGAGGGACAACTTCTTAGAGAAGAAGATGAAAGATGTGCAATGGAGAGAGAAAACTAATTTATGTAACCCCCTTTTAGGAAATGGGATCCTTTGGGCTGGACTTGAGACATCACCTCACCAATTATTATTACATTGCTGTGTGTCATGAAGTCAGTTTCTGAGATTCCTAGGTTTCAGTAAACCAGATTGATCTCTTTCCACATATATAACTCTGGGGATCTCAGGGTGATCAGAGCTATTTGTGTGGGTGTTGGGGAGATGTTCCCTAGACCTATAACACAAATGCTGTCTTCTTAGCCAGCACTTGTCACTGCTTCGAGGCAACGCGCCTGAAAAGAATTCTCAGGAACCAGAGAAGACAAGCTGGAATTCTTCAATCTCCTAACGTGACTGTACTGCTCAATCTTGGGTGGAGGAAGCTATCCGCCTCTTCTTCCTGATATGGTGGTCAGGCCATCCACAAGGCAGGGAAAGAAAGGGGCCAGTGCAGGCATAGTAGGGGAGCCCGTGCTCAGGCTGACTGAGAGGCACACTGCCAGGGTGAGCACATGCTGTATCCTCAGAAGGCTGGCTTCTTCTAGTAGTGTGCCTCGTATTTGTACACCGTGTCTGCTGATGGGGAAAGACACATCCAGGCAAAGATA